TATTACATGTTTTTTTTCATATTGTTTGCAGAAACTTTTCCAGCAGCCTACGTATAAAGCATTTCTGAATTTAAATTTTATTAAGATATCTTTCCTTATCAAAAATTTGGACATTCTCTCAATTAAATTCATGATTAAATCTAAGTTGGTGGTCTGTGATCACTGCTTGGTTCCTGTTGATATGGTTGCGATGCTCAGATTGCGAGATTATTCTCGTGGATAATTTTCGATCTGTTTGACCAATGTACGACGCATCACAATCTTTACAAGGGATTTTATAAACGTTTTTATTGGAGAATTTTGGGAGAGTGTCCTTCTGTACTTTAATGAATTTATTAAGCTTATTCAAACTCAAGAAGGATAATTTCACGTTAGTGTTCTTGTTAATAGTAAAGAATTTCTCAGACATCGATGGAACAATCGTAGAACAAACTATGGTGAACGTTCTTCATTAGTAATATTGCTAGCAACATTATTCTCTTTCGTCTGTTGTTTATAAAATAACTTTTAAAATAATTTTTAGACGTGAATTCATAGTGTTGAAAATAAAGTCAATCGGATAATTAATTTTTTTATTTAAAATATTTTAGGTCAGAAAATGAATCGTAATGGAGTCAGGAAAAAGGCCCAAAAAAGGTATGTATCAAAAAATTTAGCAGATCTTGGTTAGACGAAAATATCTTTAAAAGTTGGTTGGCAAAGAATAACAATAAAGCTTGGTATAAAATTTGTAATGTTTCACTTAAATGTTGTCAATATAATTTATCAAGGCATGCCGAATCAGCTTCTTATATAGATAATATAAATAGTATTTATTAATGTAGAAATTGATACCTCACAATAAGAGGTATGTCTAACTTCTATATATTTATTATTCTATATATTTATAATTCTATTTCTCTTTGGGGCGAAAAGACGCCAGTTTTACAAACGGATTAGATACTCTACTGGCGCTTTAGACTGCGCGCATGCGTGAATGCGGCGCATGCCGCTTGGCAGCACTGTGTAACAACAGCTCTTTCTCCGAGAGTCGAATCTCTCGTGATAATGCGTTTCCGCGCCTTTGGCAAGTATATTATCAGTCGCATGTCGTTTAGCGAAATCGTTGTTGTGCGAATATGCTACGTCGTATTTGCGACACAATAGCATCCACTAGATTAATACTTCGATCATCTCTGGTCAATCGCTTCTCCAAGCGCGTCTTTCTCGAATCACAAAACTGATATTCGGGAATATGCAGTTTAAAAGGAAGCACGTTTATCGCACAATTTAACAAGCTTCTCAACGGCATTCGCTAGAGACAATTTTTTATCAAAGGCGCTGGACCGTCGATATGTGTTTGATAAGTTGGCAAATTGTAATGCTTCAGGTACCGACGGTATCATTATATTTCCAAATCGACTCATATATGCTCGAGTAAGCATTGTCCCACAACAGATCTATACAATTTTCAAACTCTCGCAGCAGTATAATTTTCGGTATATTCCAACCCTTTGAAAGTTAAACTATGCAGATTGTCCGACACAATGAGAAACATTTTGATGACTAAGCGATTTCGCTCTACACGGCACTATAAATAGGCCCGCTCGCGATATCGTTTTCAGTATTTTGTGGAAGGAAAAAATATCGTGCGCCAGTCGTGAGCGATCAAAATGATGAATCTCGATGGTAAAGTGCAAACCGATAAAGAAATGAGCAAGTATGGCAACATGCTGCTGGCTTCTATATACACTATCATCTGCGGACCGTTAAATTGCGGCAAGACAAAAACGTGCTGATAAACCTATTACAAAATCCGCACGACGTACAATTCGAGAACATATACTCGAAATCACTGCAATAGCCGAAATATTAGTACCGGATTAATTTGCTAGTGCCGATAAAAAAAATCGGCTAATTTACGTTCTTCAATAACAGCAACATCATTCCACCGAGCGAGGTGCTTCCGAATTTTATTTTTATCTTTGATGACGTGGCGTGCGATGACAAGCAAGACGTGATAAGAGAGTATTTTGTAATGAGACGACACGTGGACGTCGACTGCTTCTATCTCTGTCAGACGTACGCAAAGATACCGAAACATCTAATACGCAACAATGCAAATCTGTTCAAACAGGATGGTATCAATCTGAAATGCGTGTACAACGATACGTGAATACCGACATGTCTTATAAAAATTTCTGCAATTTATGTCGTAAATGCTGGCAGCGAAAGTATGGATTTCTAATGATTGACAAAGATAGTGCGCTTACCAATTGGCGATACAGAAAAAGATTTAATGACTTTGCTGTACCGTAATGTGAGTTGCTATCGATACGTTGAACAGCAGCAAAGATCATGAGAAAATAGCCAAAGAGAACGAAAGATTCGATTCGCAAAAGTACGCTTTGAAGATTGATAAAATGGAAAACAGCGCATTGGAGAGACACTTCAAACCTATTATCGACCCGCTGAAACAAATTGTCGAAAACATTGTTGAATTTTCCAAGGATCTTATCATAATTCTTTTCGCGAGAGGACGAGAATTCAAAATCCAAAAGAAGACCGAATGCTTTGTATGATAATCATAATATACAGACTTTCACGTCTATGAAATCAATGTTAAATCGATCGAAAACCGTACTGTCCACTTTGAACGAAATGTCTGAAATAATACAGCCGCGCGAGTTATCGTACGACGCATATCATCTTGCACAAAAACCATGAGATAATTATAGATAGGAAAAGATATGATGGAACAGGCCTGTATATACTAGTTAATTTTCATGAAATTTTCCAACGAAATTATCTGTACGGATGATGACATACAGACCTACAGGAGCATTCTGCTGACAACAAACGCTTACTGGCGCCGTCGTAGCTAGAGTAATCAAGTACGGGGTAATAAGGGACACATGTATAAGAACATGTATAGCGCTATTGGTGTTGGGTAAAAATGTTAGAACAGGAATAAACAAAAGAATGGATTTACCGTGTACGATGACAGTAATTGACAACAATATCGACTATATTCATTGGGACGAAATTGTGAATCGTCTGCAATTGCTCGAGGTCTCGCACCAAGCGGATCACAATGGTCACGACAACAAGATCCTGTCAATTAACGAGGAGCTTCGCGAAGCCGTTGATTATAAATTAACCTCGTTCTACACACGTCGTTCAGTTGAAATCGCAATACCGATCAACCAGTTTGGACTATCGTTTGGTGGAGGAAGCGAATCGTACTATTAGTGAAGCGGATTACTCAAAAATTACGAGCATTATAGCGCTCTTTGCATAATCGCAGCTGATTGACGCAAAGTCGCGCAATTTTCGACGATTACCGGTACCAGTGGATGATGCAGCAAACGATACATACAGCAAAGTGTAGGTTATGAAAAGACGTTTCAAGAAGTACATCGTTCTAAATAATTATTCGCAATGTCCGAGAAACGGTTGCTGGTTGCTGATGAATTGCATTCTCCGCCGAGAAGAAATTTTCCGCAAAAACATGTAATAGTACACGGATACGATGACCTGTACCAGGCGGATGTAGTCAAGATGCATCCTTATACTCGAATCAACAGAAGTTACCACTACAGTCTCACAGTTATCAATGTGCTGAGTAAGCACGTACAGGCCGTGCCGCTTAAACTCAAGAGCGGAAACGAGATGACGCAGGCGATCATCACAAAGATAATTCGTGGTGATGGGAGATACCCTAAAAATTTGCAGACTAACAGAGGAAAGGAATTTTACAACTCGGATGTGCAGAAACTCTTGAAAAAGCACAACGTCGATTATTCTACATATTCCGTAATGAAAGCTCGGTCGTTGAACCGTACGGTTGAAGAATAATATGTGGAAACAGCTTACGTACAACGGAAAGTATAAATGAATCGACACACTGCCGCATCTCATAACAAATTACAACACGCGTAAACATCGAACTATTGGTATGCGTCTTGTCGTTATCTCCGCGATCGCCGACAGACTTTTAATCACGATTTACAATCACGTAAAGATTACCGCAACCACGCGATACAAAGTGAGTGATTTGGTACGCGTGAGCAAATTCAAGACAGTCTTTGAAAAAGGTTACTCTCCGAATTGGATCATGGAGGTGTTTAAAATTATTAAAGTACAGCAAACTAATCCAGTGACGTATCTATTGGAAGATTCTCGCAGAGAGCCTATTGCTGAAGGATTCTACGAATATGAATTACATCTCTAATCCCGACATGTATCTCGTTGAAAAAGTTTTGCGCAAGAGAGGGAACGAGTTTTACGTGAAATGATTGGAATTTGACAATTTGCACAATTCGTGGATACATAAATACAAATATGTAGATATAATATGTATATGATATTCATAATACGTTTAGTACGTATTTATTATAAAAGTATAAATACGTAAATGTACGAAGGCAAGTCAATAAGTTTTTAGAAAAATATAGTAAAACACATTTTTTTTGATCGATTCATTTTTATTTCTCAACATAGTCTCCTTTCAGTTCACACTTGGATACACTTGATCCAACGATTCTTCAACTTTTTCAAACATTCATAATATGATTTGTCCAACACTTCAAAATAAGCCTCTGTTTCGGCGATGAGCTGCTCTCTAGTGGTGAATCTCTTTCCTCCGAACCATTTCTCCAGGTTTGGAAACAGGAAATTGTCACAGGGGACTAAATCTGGCGAATATGCTGGATGGGGAAGCAAGTAGCGGAATTCATTCAATTTGGCCACCGGTGCCGGACACGTGTGAACCTGTGCATTGTCTTGATGGAAGAGCACTTTCTTCTTCGCCAAATGGGGACGTTTTTTCTTTAAAATGTTGTTGAAACGGTCCAATAAGGCTGCGTAGTAATCGCCATTGATCGTTTGCTTCGATGGCAGGTAATCGATATGAATTATACCGCGTGCATCCCAAAAAATTATGGCCATTACCTTTCCGGCCGACTTCACGGTCTTCGCCTTCTTCGGAGCTGGTTCACCCGATGAAGTCCATTGTTTTGACTGTTCCTTTGTCTCGGGTGTGAAGTAATGTATCCATGTTTCGTCCACAGTAATGAATCAACATAGAAATTATCTGGATTACGTTGAAACATCTCCAAACATTGTTTTGAAATCGTCACACGGTCGCGCTTATGGTCCACAATGAGCAAACGCGGCATCCATCTTGTCGATAGCTTTTTCATACCCAATTGTTCATGCAAAATTAAAATCAGTGTGCCATGTGATAAGCCTGTGGCCTCAACAAGCTCGCGCACTTTCACTCGTCGATCAGTCAAAATAATATCGTGGACTTTATCGATGATTTCTGGCGTAGCAGCCTCAATTGGACGTCCCGAACAAGGTGCATCACATATGGATGCACAACCACATTTAAATTCATTCACCTAATTGTATACAGTCGCAAACGCTGGTGCAGATGTGCTATGAACATTATCCAACTCGGCTTTGATTTCTTTCGGCGTTAAACTTTTCATATGTAGATGTTTGATCACTGCACGAAACTCATTTTTTTCCATTTTGCAAAAAATACAGAGATTATTCGCTTTAATCATCTAGAGAAATGAAATCACGCGATGAATTCCACTCAAAATTTGACAGTAATCAGCTGAAAGATGCTACTTGTCAAAAAATAATGTAATATGACACTGCGAGTGCTTTCTGACAGATTTTTTAAAAACTTATTGACTTGCCTTCGTATAATAAATATCATATACATATTATGTAAGCTGCTGGAAAAGTTTCTGCAAACAATATGAAAAAAAAACATGTAAAATTCGGTAAATGGCTTTATTGTTTTTCGAAGTATTCGCCTTTAAGATCAATACATTTTTGCATATGCTCGAACCACAATTTTCGAAGCATTTTTTCCACTCTAAGAGTGTAACCTCAGAAATCAGTATACGAAATATTTCAACAGCTGCTTCAGGCGACTCAAATCGCCCACCACGCTCATCTTATTTTTAATGTTTGGGAAGAAAAAGAAGTCATTAGGTGATAAATCAGGTGAATACGGACAATGAATCATCAATTCGACATTATTACTGGATAAAAAAATCAACGGTTTGACGTGCTGTGTGACAGCGGGCGTTGTCATGATGAAGGATGATGCGACGATTTCGGTTTGTTCTACGCAATTCATTTATGACTTCTGGCAAACAAATTGTTGTATACCAATCAGTATTTACAGTCCTTGGATCCTCTAAAGCCACGGTTGTCCGGTATAACCGAAGAAACAAGCAATCATTTGCTTGGCAGCAAAACGTTCACTACGTGAACGAATAACTTTTGTTGGTTTCGGTTCATTTTGAAACACTCAAACAGTGGATTGTTGTTTACTTTCGGGCTCATACGAATAGATCCATGTTTAGTTTCCAGTAACGATGTTGTAGATCAAATTTGATCGACCTCGGTTGAATTTCTTGAGCATTTCCCACGACTGTCTACGCGTCATTTCAATTGCGTCATTCAAGCACTGCGTGCTTGTAATTCTCGAACATTATGGACTCCGCTAGAACGTTGCTCTTAACGTCCTTCGCCTTCTTCGTATCCTTCTTTTCTTCTATAAAAAGTGTACATTTTCGCTCTAAACCCTACGAATTCGGTCATGATGGCATCGTAGTTCTCTCTTTCATAAAGCCAGGGATGTTTTTATTTGCGAGCAAAATGTCATACGCGTTGTCGCCCGAGTAATCGCTCATGTCAAATTTATTTATACCATGTTTCATGATATCATAGACATCACATTCTACATGATAGACTGTCAGTGTACATAATTTTGCGTGTATCGTAAAACAGCAGTGTCATATACTCGTGATGGAATTCGTGCAAACACATCTTGGATATGCCGAGGATGCACATACCTACGTACATCGGTTTGTCAAACTTTACCTTGAGCTTACGCAGATTCTCCGAAAAGACGCTTGGACTATAAAAATTTAGTTTAGCGATCATTGTCATAGGTGCCTCCGCACCTATCTGCCTTCCCGTTTCGTGAGGAAGCGCACATGATCGCGCACATTTTTCGCATAATTTTGCCAAAGATCGCATTATTTGTAAGTTTGTATCAATTTTTTTCAAAATCATTTTTAATCAATGTTCTAAATTTTGTGTTAAGCTCAATATATTCGTGTAGCCGTGGAGATTGCGTGAATTGTAGTGTGTAATGAACTTTTGCGATACGGAGACCGTGACGAGTACACTGCTGCAGGTTGCGATAATGTATAATGTAATGCTGTTTATAGCATAATGTTGCGAGGAGCTTGCCGGGAGGTTTCTCACGCATCGGACAGAACGATAGTTCAATGTGCGTGTCATGAAAATGTTTCGAGTACTCTACATCCACTTTGAGAATATAGTCCGTCGACAAATCTAATGCGATGATCGTAAAGGTAAAATTTTACACATCGTCGACCCACCGAAAATCGGCGTAAAATTATGGTTAATACATTGCCCAGCCGTACAGATTGTTGACGTCATAGTACATCATACAACGATGACAATTTGAATCGTATGACGGCATGTATTTGTTATTAGCTTGCGCCTGTTTGAACGCTGACTCAGACCACCGTGAATATCGCACTCGATAAACATTATCATGTTGATATCTGTGAGTAGTTCGAATTTACACCTGTATGCTTTAATATGGCGTCCCACATGAAGTCCGGTAATAGTACACGGGGTCTAGACCGCGTAACTTGCGACATACCTGGAAATTTTCAAAGACATCGACCAACAATAAAATGTCTATTTTCAGATACAGATCACTATATTCACCAAGTGTTCCGATGTAGAACTGTTGCTACACGTTGACGGCGTGCGCGTAATCGTTCTCAGATACCGTATCCTCTATCAATGAATTATAAAACGATTCGCGAGGCGGTAAACGTAGCTCTTCCAATTTTTTAACGCAGTCAATGTGCTCGCATGGAATGATGCCCTTTTGTGTCAAAATTTCCTTCGGATAAATTGAGAAATTCGCGCAATATCCTTAACTTATCTTTGCTAAAAAAAAAGATGCCAATTTGTCCAAACTTGAGGCAAGAAATCTATACAAATCAATAAACCTTAATTTTAAGCAATTTTTGTTATCGGTTTTAATACTATCAATGTGTTTGATGAATGGGATGTATTTTTCCTTCGTTATCGGAAGCAGATCAATGCGTCCTTTATATGCAGTGGCAATTTTTTTTGATTAAATGTGCGTTATGATCAAATAAATTGTGAAACACTATAGGTATGCAACGCAAATCCTTAATTTATAGTAGATTGCAGTTTTAGTGCGCAGGGAATCTGTATCGTCCGGTTAAATGACGATAATCGCGTACCCGCATATCGTCTGGCGCGAACGGTTTCTCGCACACATGGCAATGCGTGGCGTTGTTGAATTTTTCCCAGTCATTTCACGTGAAACCTGCCACGGGTACATTAATCAAAATTAAAGACTGTACACTGTGCGCTATATTTTTCAATTTTTTCACGAACCATGTAATGCAGTCTTTATCGCAGTGAAAGCAATACGTGGATAATGTATCATCGTAGAAACAATGCACATAATACCCAATAAACATGTTATGATATTGATATATTTACGTAGCCGATTCAGAATTCCTATTTATCTTTTCCAATACGTCAGATCGGGGTAGACAACGAACGGAACGCGCTTCTTCTTGTAATGGCTGCCGAAGCTCAACAATTTGTTTTCTTTTTTCGGCAATCTTATCGCACAATTATTCAATTTTTCAATCTTTGTTGTAGATCTCCAATTTTGCGCTCGAGCTGAAGCAGTGTAGGCATCTAAAAAAAAACCGCACATTTATTATTAACAATATTATTACTAT